GTGTGTGTGTGTGTGTGTGTGTGTGTGAGTGTGTGAGTGTAAGTGAGTGTCAGTTCTATAACCGCTCTCTGCTGCATCATCTGCTGTTCCTCTCTTTCTGGTGTGTGTTTGAGGACTCTTGTTCTGGAGATTCTCTCTTTGCTTCTGTTCCTCATCTCTTTGCTCACTGATTCTGATCTTCTGGACCGATCGTTGTGTTCTGACGGAGCAGATTTCAGCAGACACTGATGATGATGGTCAGAAACACACACACACACACAGGCTGACCGCGGGTGTGTTTGCGCGGGTCAGTCGGTCCGTGTTTAACACGTCTGCTCTTCCTGCTGTGAATCTGTCCTTCGCTCCTCTGGTTCTTTGGCAAAGCTGCTCGTCTCTTGAGTTTGCTCTTCTTCACTTCTGGAAGTAACAGAGGTTTCTCTGTCGCTCATGAAGGAACTGGAACAGTAACTTTGAGACGGACAAGAGCCAGATATTCCAGCAGCTGCCGACCACAGCGCTCAACAGGTGACCAGAAGACACTGCAGTCAGTGACTCTGTTAGCTCTTCTTCAGTGGATCATTCTCCTGCTGATGAGTTTTGAACACAATTTTCTGTTTTCTTTTTAATTTTTTGTAGAACGTTTTATTTTGATGTTTCAATTTTTTACATTTATTTTAAATGTAACATTTTAATGATTTACCTCATTTGTAGTAAGTGCTTTATTTTGTGTGTTATTATTTTTATTTATTGTTATTATTTATTTTATAAAATTATTTATTCATATTAATTTTACATTTTTATGGTTTAATTGCTTTTTAGGTTTGGGTTGGGTTTTTTATTTATTTTTTAATAGTGTTTTATTTTGATGTTTAGGTTATTAATCTTTAATTTATTAATCTGATTTATTTTAGTGCCTTTTATTTTGATGTTCTTATTTTATTTATTTGAATTGTAAAATTTTTATTATTTAATTAATTTAATTTAATTTTTTAAAGTTATTATTTTAGATTTTACGTCTTTATGATTTATTTTTAGTGACCTTTTTAAATAAATTATTTTAATTTAAAATTTTATGATTTCATAATTGAATTATTGACTCCGTTCATCAGATCTCAAAGCCCAGTTTGGGACAGATGATCCGTCTCTCTCTCGGTCAGAAAGCACTAGATTGACTGGTTTTTGTGAAGGTTCTTGAGCGTCTGATGTGGCCGGTCTGGTTCTTCAGTAAATCACACGTCTCTGAGCGTGTCTCGTGTGTGTGTGTGTGTGTGTGTGTGTGTGTGCAGGACTAACTCGGACTCGGCGCTGCACACCAGTGTGATGAATCCTCCGGCTGGAGACACGTTCTCCTCAGGACTCCGCCGACCGGCTGGTCAGTGACGCTCACGTGTGTGTGTGAGACGCTCGTTAGATGTGTGTTTGAGTCTCTACTGACGAGCCTCTGTTCCTCCTGCAGTCTTCTCCTATCCTGTTCCTCCCATCCAGGAGAACGGCCCTAACGACGGACGCCTCCTCAAACCCTGGGACTCCAGAAAGGTGCGAACGCAGCTCGTGGTGTGTGTGTGTGTGTGTTCAGTGTGTGTGTGTTCAGTGTGTGTGTGTTCAGTGTGTGTGTGTTCAGTGTGTGTTCAGGGGGGGTGTGTGTGTTCAGTGTGTGTGTGT